GCGCCCCGCTATGCCCGCGCGCCGCCGCGCCGCGCCGCGCTGCCCGTGCACTGCCCGCCGCCGCGCGCCTTGCCTTGCCCGCGCGCTGCCCGCCGCTAAGCCGCCCTGCCTTGCCTGTGCGCCGCTGGCCGCTGCGCTGCCTGCCCTGCCCGCGCGCGCCACTTGCAGCTGCGCCGCCCTGCCCTGCCTGCGTGCTGCCGTGCTGGCTGCCGCCCTGCCTTGCCTTGCTTGCGTGCTGACCTACTACTAGCGCGCCCTACTGCTCTGCCCACTATGGCCACCCTCAGTGTACTCTCGTTCGATGCAGAGGGCCGCCCGATAGAGTTCGACGCTTGGCTCGACGACCTGCAGCTATTCTTACTGAGCGATTCCAAGGACGGTGTTTCACTGTTTGACCTCACGTCTGGCGCCTCTCTCGCCCCTGCCGCCACAGCTGACAGTGTAGCTCGCTCACAGTGGCTTACTCGTGACGCTGCTGCTCGCCTAGCCGTTCGCAACCACCTGCCGTTAGCCGAACGCGCTCACTTCGGACAGCACAAGAATGCGAAAGCACTGTACGACGCTGTAGTCGCTCGTTCCTCCTCCACGGCCACTGCTGCTATAGGCCGCCTTCTCCTGCCCTACCTGTTCCCAGAGCTGTCCGCCTTTGCCACAGTAGCCGTCCTCGTCACTCACCTTCGCACTAGTGACACTCGCTACCGCGCTGCGCTTCCCGCCGAGTTTCTCACCAAGAACCCTCCTCCCATGTACATCACTCTCTACTTCATAGTCACCCGCCTCCCTGACTCTCTTAGCGCTGTCAAGGACCTCCTTCTCGGCCTTGACCCCACCGACCTCACTGTCGACCTGCTCGCGAAGCACCTCCTAGCAGCTGAGACTAGCATAGTCGCTGTAGGCGCTTCTCGTGGCACTCCTCGCACTCCCTTCTTTGAGGGATGTTCGCCCTCCCCCCTGGTCCCCTCCGTCGCCTCTGCTTCAGCTATTGACTACCTTCGTGCTGAGGAGGTAAGAGCTGCGTCTGCCCCTAGTGGGAGGCGCCGCAGCGGCAGGGGCACGGGAGGCAGGGGCGGTGGGGGTGGCAGAGGTGGAGGCGGTGGTGGGGGCGGAGGCGGCGGTGGAGGGGGCGGCGGTGGCGGAGGGAGTGGTGGTGGGGATGGAGGTGTAGGTGGCGGCGGTGGTGGCGGCAGTGGGAGTGGTGGAGGCGGCAGTGGGGCCGGCAGTGGGAGTGGAGGCGGCGGCAGTGGTGGCGGCCGGGGTGGTACCAGCCAGAGGGGAGGCCTTGGCGGTGGTCAGAGGCAGCAGCAGCAGCGTCAACCCCTTTCGTCTCAGGAGCTACGTGAGTGGTTTGCTCAGCGTGGGGCGGCTGGGGGTGGTGGTCGCTGCCCGTATGTCATTCGCACAGGTGACCGCACTGGTCAGACATGCGGGAAGCTTCACACCCAGTACCGCTGCTTCTCTCGTCTTGACGATGCCTTTCGCGCAGAGTTTCCCGACGCGGCTGAGCTCCCCCGCTGGGCAGAGCTGCTTAGGCAGGGTGTGGATATTTTTGCTCTTGATTATGATGCTATCCTTACTGCCATGTATGCATTGACTGTTAGTGCTGAGGGTGACTGTTACCTGTGTATGCCGCCAGACCCAGGTATAGAGGCTGCTGCTCTAGGTGCTAGTGAGTCTGCTGCTCTAGGTGCTGGTGAGTCTGCTCTCTCTGGTACTGCTTCTGCTGCGGCCTTGCACACCTTCACGCTTGACTCAGGTGCTTCCCGCTGTTTCTTTCGCGACAGTACCACAGTCACACCGCTCTCTGCACCTGTTGCTATCTCTCTGGCTGACCCCTCTGGGGGCCCAGTCCTTGCACGTTCCTCGACTGTTCTGTCGTGTGCGGCGGTTCCGTCTGGCTCACTGTCAGGTCTTCACCTCCCCTCGTTTTCTACGAACTTGGTGAGAAACGCCGTCCTTCAGGATGAGTGGGTTGATACCTTCATCCCTGGAGGACAGCGTGTGGCGATCTGTACGTGCTCCCGGACTGGCCGGCACCTGGCCACGTTCACCCGTCGGCCTGGGTCGAGTCTATACACACTGACTACTGCGCCTCCTCAGGTAGCTGCGTCTGCGTCTGCATCAGGTCAGCTGTCGGCCCCCTGCTCGTGTCGCGCCCTGTTGCACCAGACTCTCCTTTGGCACCACCGCCATGGTCACCCCTCCGTGGCACGCCTCCGTGGCATGCACTCCCGTCTCCTTGTCTCTGGTCTTCCCAGGTCTCTCCCTCCCCTCCCACCCTCGCCTGCCCCTCCCTGTCTTCCCTGTGTCGAGGGGCGGCAGCGTGCCGCTCCTCACTCCTCCGAGTTTCCCCCGATGACTGCTCCTCTGCAGACTCTCCCCGCGTCCGTGGACAGGGCCGCGGGCGCTACTTTCTGCTGGTTGTCGAAGACTACACGCGTTACACCACTGTCTTACCCTTGCGCACCAAGGGGGAGGTCTTTGATGTTTTGATCCCTTGGATCCGCGCCGTTCGTCTCCAGCTCTGCGAGCGGTTCGAGACGGACCTTCCCGTCCTGCGTCTGCACTCTGACAGAGGTGGTGAGTTTTCCTCCGACTTCTTGCGGGACTTTTGTCGTGGGGAGGGCATTCGCCAGACGTTCACGCTTCCGGCCTCTCCGCAGCAGAATGGGGTTGCTGAGCGCCACATTGGCTTAGTCATGGAGGTCGCTCGTACCTCCATGATCCATGCGGCTGCCCCCCATTTTCTGTGGCCGTTTACGGTCCGATACGCTGCGCATCAGCTCAACCTCTGGCCTCGTGTCTCCTTGCCGGAGACCTCGCCGACACTGCGTTGGACGGGAGAGGTTGGCGATGCGTCGGTGTTCCGGGTCTGGGGCTCTCGTGCCTTTGTCCGCGATACGGCCGCGGACAAGCTCTCCTCCCGCGCCATTCCCTGCGTCTTCCTTGGCTTTCCCCCTGACGCGCCTGGCTGGCAGTCTTACCACCCCACCTCGCGTCGTGTCCTGCCCTCTCAGGACGTCACGTTTGACGAGTCGGTTCCCTTTTACCGTCTCTTCCCCTACCGCACTGCCCCTCTCCCCCCCCCGCCGATCTTCCTCGCACCAGGTCCTCCTCCGGTAGACCCCCTCCCCCCTCAGGGTCCTGCCCCCTCAGGTGTTTCCAAGGTAGACCCTGTCGAGCCTGTCGAGGTAGGTGTCGACTCTGGTGCTGCTAGGGGTGCTGCGTCTGGGGGTGCTGAGCCTGCGGGTGCGGGGCCTGGGGGTGCTGAGCCTGAGCGTGCGGAGCCTGGGGGTGCTGAGCCAGGGGTTGCTGAGTCTGAGGGTGCGGAGCCTGGGGGTGCTGAGCCTGAGCGTGCGGAGCCTGGGGGTGCTGAGCCTAAGCGTGCGAAGTCTGGGGGTGCTGAGCCTGGGGGTGCTGGGCCTGAGCGTGCTGCGCCTGGAGGTACTTTGTCTTCTGGAGGTCCTACGGGTGTCTTGTCACGGCGGGAGCCACTCTCTCCACCGAAGCTGCGCGAGTGGTTTGCTCGGCGCTGGAGCCGCGCTGCTGGAGCTTGGAGGCCCTGGAGCTGGAGGCACTGGAGCTACTGGTCCCGGAGGTGCTCGTACTGGAGGTACTGGAGCTGCTGGAGCTGGAGGTGCTGCAGGAGTTGGAGCTGGAGCTGCTGGAGGTGCTGGAGCCGCTGGTGCTGGAGGTGCTACTGGAGCTGGAGCTGCTGGAGGTGCTAGAGCCGCTGGTCCCGGAGGTGCTCGTACTGGAGGTACTGGAGCTGCTGGCGCTGGAGATGCTGCTGGAGCTGGAGCCGCTGGAGGTGCTGGAGCCGCTGGTCCTGGAGGTGCTCGTACTGGAGATACTGGAGCTGCTGGAGCTGCTGGAGCTGCTGGAGCTGCTGGAGCTGGAGGTGCTGCAGGAGTTGGACCTGGAGCCGCTGGAGGTACTGGAGCTGCTGGAGCTGGTGGTGCTGCAGGCGTTGGAGCTGGAGACCCTGGAGCCGGAGGTGCTGGCCCTGGGGGTACTGTCGGTGCTGGTTCTGGAGGCACTGTGCGGCCGCGACCGTACTTCGTTCCACTGCTTCAGCAGTTTCTTGGTCTCCCTCCTTCTGCTGACCTTACTCCTCCCTTATTGTGTCCATTGGCTGACTAGTCCCAGCCGCAGTTACAGCCAGCCTCCCCACTGCCTGCTCCTTCTCCTTACACTGAGCAGCCCGGAGGTCTTACAGAGCGTCGTGAGCCTGCATCTCGTCCTGCGTCGCCTGTTCGCGCTACTCGCACTGGTCGTCGTGTTCCGCGTCCGCGTCCTCCTCCTGTCCCCGGCACGCACCAGATGGCACTTCGTCCTTCCTCTGTTCCACTGCGTGTCCCTCTGCCGTCTCCTCCTGCGTCCTCCCTTGCTGACAGTCCGGACCCAGAGTCTGACTCCCTTCGTCCTGCTAGTCCTACTGTCACACGTCTTCTAGCTACTGCTGTCACTGACCCTTCGTTTGAGTCCACTGCTGCGTCTGCCCTAGTTGCTGAGCTTGTTGACTTTGCTGCTGCCTGTCGCCTCGACTACACCGCTAGTCTTGTTGCTGAGTCTGAGTCTGTCTGTCCTCCGTCCGTCGGGGGTGAGTGTGCTCTTGGCACGGACGTCCTTGAGGACAGGCAGGAGGACTTTGAGTGTTTTGCAGCTGCTGTACCTCATCTCGTGTCCATGCTGATTGCACCTGAGGGAGACCCGGATGCACCAGACATCCCGACCCCGCGCTCTTACGCAGAGGCAATTGAGGGTGCCTACTCCTCTTAGTGGCACACAGCCATGGACGCAGAGATGGCATCCTGGAAGTCCACAGGCACTTACGTCGACGAGGTTCACCCACCTGGGGCGAACACCTCAGTGGCATGCGGATTTTCAGGGTGAAGCGGCCGCCGGGTTCTCCGCCTGTCTTCAAGGCGCGTTACGTTGCACGAGGCTTCAGTCAGCGACAGGGAGTTGACTTCTTCCAGACCTTCTCCCCTACCCCGAAAATGACCACTCTTCGGGTTCTGCTGCACGTCGCCGCTCAGCGTGACTACGAGCTTCACTCTCTTGACTTCAGCACTGCTTTCCTACAGGGCAGCCTGCACGAGGAGATCTGGCTGCGCCGCCCACCTGGCTTCACTGGGTCGTTTCCTGCAGGTACCCAGTGGAGCCTCCGGCGGCCAGTCTACGGTCTCCGCCAGGCGCCTCGTGAGTGGCACGACACACCGAGGACGACGCTTGCGGCTCTTGGGTTTGCTCCTTCGACTGCTGACGCGTCGCTGCTTCTACGCACTGACACCTCGCTGCCGCCGTTCTACATCCTCGTGTACGATGACGACTTGGTCTTTGCCACTGCTGACACTGAGGGACTCGCCCACGTGAAGTCGGAGCTGCAGAAGAGACACACGTCCACAGACCTGGGTGAGCTGCGCAGCTATCTTGGCTTGCAGATCACCCGGGACAGAGCACGGCGCACCATTACCTTGACTCAGTCACCCATGGTGCAGCAGGTCCTTCAGCGCTTCCGCTTCATGTACTCCTCGCCACATTCTACTTCTCTGCCTACCGGTCACTCGCTCTCAGCTCTGCCTTCGGATGAGTCCGTAGAGCCGAGTGGCCCGTATCCAGAGCTTGTGGGCTACCTCATGTACCTGATGACCTGCACTCGACCTGGCCTTGCTTACCCTCTTTGCATCCTGGCACACTACGTTGCGCCCGGGAGACACCGACCAGAGCACTAGGAGGCCGCTTAGAGGGTGATGCGCTACTTGTGCAGTACGTCGGGCATGGGGCTCGTGCTTGGAGGACGGGCTCGAGTTGTCCTCACTGGTCACGCAGACGCTTCTTGGGTTGACGACTTGGCTACGCAGCGGTCGTCACAGGGTTACACCTTCAGCCTTGGCTCCGGCTCTGTTTCGTGGCGGTCTACCCGCTCGTCTTCTGTTCTCAGTTCCAGTTGTGAGGCTGAGATCTACGCAGGGGCCATGGCTGTAGAGGAGTTACGCTGGCTCACCTACCTGCTGACCGACTTGGGCGAGCCGCCTCGTTCTCCTCCAGTTCTGTACGTCGACAACAAGGCCATGATTGCCTTGTGTCAGGAGCACAGACTGGAGCACAGGACGAAGCACATCGCTCTGCGTTACTTCGTTGCTCGAGAGTTGCAGCAGCGTGGTCAGCTTCGTCTTGCTTACGTGGCCTCTCGGGCCAACACTGCTGATAACTTCACCAAGGCACTTCAGCCTTGTGATCATCAGCGTTTCTGTACTGTTCTAGGCCTTGTGCCTACTTGGCCTCACTTGCTCACTTCTTGACTTTGCTTCTTATCTAGGTTTTGTTCACTGTACTGCTTGTTCTGCTTTATATAACTCTGCATGTGAACTGGCCTTGTGGCCATTTGCTTGTGCTCAGAATGTGTGGTGACTTTGTGATCCACCCTGAGCTTGCTTTGCTTTTCTTGACTGGTCTTGTGACCTCTTGTCCCCCACTTTGCCTATGGGGGTGTGTCAAACTTATATGCTATATCTTGTGTAGGCTATAGTGGGGTAGCCCATATGGGGTACAACCCAATTAGGGTTAGTACTTGTACCCATCCTGCTGTTAGTCATTTCATATTCTGCTGACACTGAGCGCTTTGGAGGAGCAGTTCGAGCTCAAGACTCCACGTGTAGAAATCCCGACCATTGAAGGCGGTGCTTGTACGAATCTTGGAGATAGCCAGAAACTTGTTCTGGGCTGTAGGCATGGCTTCGTCACTTGGGCGTGAAGTGGTTGGAGCGGCAGAGTTCGACCCGGGGTCGAATGTGGTTGGAGCCAGTTCCTTGTTGGGAGCAGCAGGTTGTTCGGGTTGCCGCGGGGTTCCGGGGTTTCCGTTCTTCATTTGCTGAATTTTGGACTCCAGAGTGGTAATGCGTTGAATAAGTTGTTCGAGCAGTGCATTACTGACGGTGGTGTTTGCCGCAGAGTTCGTGGTTGGGTTGGCAGGAGCTTCGGCTGTAGGAGCTGCCTGCCCACCAGATCCTCCAGCCATGTTTCGGCGGGAGAGCGTACCGGACGCCACCTTGGATTCGAATTTGAATAAGTGGTGGTGATGCGAAGAATCCTGAGTAGCTCTCATACCATGTTACAATCTGAAATGAAGGTGTAGGATCGTCTCAGGTTGATCGCGCGTCTTGTAGCAGCGGAAAATTGCTAGTGAATGTCGGGTACGGACCCTGTCAGTAGAAGGAGATTTGAATCTCGACATAAGTGAATATAATGATGCGGTACAAGGGATTATACAGGAATACAGCGGGAATACGAAAGGTCCTAGCTAGCCATGTACTCTGAGGGGATACATTCCCCATAGGGCTAATCTAGATGCAGGATTGCAACCGCGCGGTTCGGTAACCGTACGCGGTTTGAAGCCTTTCCGCGCTTTGCACTTTGGATTCTTCCTGCTTGTAACTGTCTTCGATAACTGTCTTAACGCTCGGTCTTCGTGCTCGCTGCAGTCATCTTCGCGTTAAGGATTCGTTACTTTAGGAATGTTTATTCGACTATTCCATATCGTAACAAAGGGGGTACATTCAAGAAGCTACAAAATTATTGCCTCAGTTAACAGGGTCATCAACAAATGCGAGGCCCAAGGTCAGAAAATCGCCTCAGTGTAGGTGCGATGAGTTGGTATGTTGACAGCGGCTAGGTCACCCTTAGGGACTAGCAGTATGGCACAAAGATGCGGAGCAGCAACCGCAAAGAAATATAGCTCAAATTGTTTGTGCTATAGGATGTCATACCAAAGGCAAACTCACCCCCAACGGACGGAGGACAGGCAGTGTGGGTGACCAACTGAGCAGCGTAGTGAAGGCGGTGGCTGGAGGCAAAGTCTAGGTGGACGAGAGATGAGACGGGTCAGGTTGGAGAGGAGGAATAGGGGAACGAGGAGGAAAATGGGTTGGAGTAGGGTCCGGAAGAGGCAACAGGTGGGAGGATGGAAGCTCATGGTAAATGAACGAACACGGAAGGCCACGTACAACCGGACGAGGCTGTTGTGGTTGCGGCAGTGGCTGCGGTTGCTGCTGCTGTGGCTGCGGTTGCTGCTGCTGCTGCTGCTGCTGCTGCTTCAGTCACTGCTACTACTGCTGCTGTCTCTGTTGCTGCTGCTCCTGTCTCGCCGAACGACGAGGGGCCACAGGCGCAGTCTCAACACCCTCTGCAGAACTTCCAACGTTAGTGCCCTCAGGGGCAATACCACCAGCGTCAGCATCCCCAAAGCCAGCACCACCAGCGTCAGCACCCCCAGAGCCAGTACCACGTGCGCCAGCACCCCCAGATTTAGCACCAACAGCGTCATCCCCAGGTTCTGCACCCACTGTAGCCGCACCCCCCTCACCAGTGCTTCCTGCATCCACAGTCGCCGGCCGCTGCAACGTGAAACCTGGCTGCTGCGACAAAGACCGCGGCGGTGACTGTGAAGACGAGGACGGTGACGAGGGGGGCTGCGGGGTGACGTGCGACAGACCAGATGGGGCAAGACGTGGGGGGATGGGGGCTACCTGAGGGGCGGGACCAGGAGGGGGAGTGGCAGTGAGGAACTCGGGTGGAGGGGGGAGACTGCTACCTCGGTAGGGGAAGCGGACGTAGTAGGAGATCGACTCGTCAAAGGTGACGTCACGAGAGGTAATGGAGCGACGGAAGGGAGGGTGGTAGAACGGCCAATCGTAAGTGTCTAGAGGGAGACCAAGGAAGACACACTTGTTCGGGTGACGATCACGAACGTGAGCAAGACAACCCCATACACGGAACGCAGATGCTGGCGCAGGGGAACCAGTCTAGGGAAGGTTGGCGAAACCAGCGGCTGCGAGGAACGCGGCCACAGGTTCAGCTGGTGGGTAGCATAGCGGACTGCAAAGGGCCACAAAAAGGATGGGGCACTGGCATGACACATGGAGGTACGGACGAACTCCATGATCAGGCCGATACAACGCTCAACGATCCCATTCTGTTGCGGCGAGCCCAGCTGCGACTTCTCTCATGGATCGTAGCCGTCCAGCAACAGCAGAGACTGAAGGAGAAGCTGCAGTAGCGAATGCAGCAGCAGCAGCCACAGCAGCAGCCACAGTAGCAGCAGCATCATCCGCAGCTATTGCCGCAGCAGCGGCAACCTTGTCTGGTTATACTTGGTCTTCCGTGTTCGTCCACTGACCGTAAGCCTCCCTCCTCCCTCCCGTTGCCTCTCCTGGTCCCTTCTCCAGCTCGTTTTCCTCCTTGTTCCCCTCCTCCTCCTCTTCTTTTTGACCCGTCTCGTCTCTCATCCACCTGGACTACTCGCCGTGACTCTCGTGGTCATCTCTCGTACCTTCTTCCTGGCTTCCACCCTATGCGCCTTCGTTTCTCTCCTCTACATGTCTCTCCACCTCCACTTCCTTAGTTTCCTCAGTTGTCCCTCGCTGTGTTTCCTCCTCCGTACTCTAACTTCCTCCGTTCCGCTCGTCCTATAGTCTCTCGTGTCCTTTCATCCCTTGTCACCCGCCCTATGGCTCCTCCTTCGTCTATCTTAGCCCTTGGCACTGCTGTCACTGACTTTGCCTCCAGCCACCACTACGCTACTCAGTTGGTCACCGACGCTGCCCGTCCTCCGTCCGGCGGGGATGCATTTTCTCTTGGATGTGACGTCCTAGAGGACAGGCAGGTTGAGCTGGCTTTCCTTGCGGCTGCTCCTCTTCATCTCTGTGCCATGCTGCTAGTCCCTTAGGGTGGCCCAGACGCTGTCGACATCCCGACTCCTCGCACCTACACTGGGGCGATTTCAGGACCCTGGGTCTTGCAATGGAGAGTAGTCATGGAGGCAGAGATGGCATTTTGGAGGTCCACAGGCACTTACGCCAATGCAGTTCCCCCTTCTTGGGCGAACATAGGCGATGTCATGTGGATCTTCTAGGTGAAGCTGCTGGAAGTGGACATTGGAATGGCCCGAAGAGGTCTCCCCAAGGGCTATAGCTGTCGTCCTAGGGGGGGGGGTATGGGTGCGCTGACCCACCAAGGAAACATGACCTTTTATCCCTGTTGGTTTGTGAGCTGGAGCTATCCATGCAAAAGCGGCCGTCTGGAACGCCGCCTGTCGCCTGGATCGCCGCCTGTCTTCAAGGGGCGTTACATGGCGAGAAGCTTCAGTCAGCGACAGGGGTTGGACTTATTCCATACCTTCTCCCCCACCCCGAATATGACTACTCTTTGGGCACTACTGCACATAGCGGCACAGCGCAACCACAAGCTTCATGTCAAACTTATATGCTGCTTATTGTGTAGGCTGTAGTGCGGTAGCCCACATGGGGTACAACCGAATTAGGGTTTCCTACTTGTACCCATCCTGCTGCTAGTTCATTCATTCCTGTTCGTTATTCTGACATGGTTTCAGAGCAGGTCCTAGCCTAGGACCGGTTTCTTAGGGCCCACCGAGTAGCGCTACCCCACCCGTCGCGCCACTGTGATCGCGTCGCCCTGCCCTCCCCTGCCCTGCGTCGCGCTGCCTGTGCACGCTCTGCCCTACCTGCGCGCCGCCCGCCGCAGCGCGCACTGCTTTGCCCGCGCGCCGCCTGCTGCAGCGCGCCCTGCCCTGCCCGCGCGTCGCGCCGCCACGCACGCCTTGCCTGAGCGCCGCGCTGCCGCGTCGCCCTGCTCGCGCGCCGCCCGCGCCGCGCGCGCCGCCCTGCCCGCGCATCGCGCCGCCGCAGCACGTGCAGCCCTGCCCGCGCGCCGCCCGCGCCGAGCGCCTTGCCCTGCCCGCGCGCCACGCCGCCGCGCACCCTGCCCTGCCCGCGCGTCGCGCCGCCGCGTGCCCTGCCCTGCCCGCGCGCCGCGCCGCGCGCCCTGCCCTGCCCGCGCGCCGCGCCGCTGCGAGCCCTGCCCTGCCCGCACGCCGCACAGCCGCGCGCCCTGCCCTGCCTGTAAGCCGCGCAGCCGCGCGCCTTGCCCTGCCGCGCGCCCTGCCCTTCCGCGCGCCCTGCCCTGCCGCGCACCCTACCTGAGCGCCGCGCCCTGCCCTGCCGCGCGCCCTGCTCTGCCGTGCGCCCTGCCCTGCCGCGCGCCCTGCCCTGCCGTGCGCCTTGCCCTACCACGCGCCGCTCACTGCTGCACGGCTGCTAGCGCGCTCACCTGCCTAGCCCTGCCTGCGTGCTGCTCTGCTGCTAGCGCGCCCGACTGCTCTGCCCGCTATGGCCACTCTCAACGTTCTCACCTTCGATTCGGAGGGCCGCCCGATAGAGTTCAATGCGTGGCTATACGACTTACAGCTGTTCCTGCTGACCGACTCTAAGGACGGTATTTCGCTGTT